GCAGACACCCACACTTACACCAGACATTAGTTCAACTCTCGGTCCTGTTCCAGATGGCAGCTCTTGGCGAATCACCCTTCAGCTGACTCTGCCTACTCCTGTGACCCCTGGGGAAGCTCAAATTCTTTCTTAAAGACGGCCCCTTTCTAGTTGAACTGTTGGCTTGATTCACCTAGAGCTGTCCTGTGTGCCACGCAATCTCACATGAATAATATCCTCTTGATGCATGAATACAGATACCAGCCCCTGACTCCAGGATTACCAACTGACCAGTTGACACAGGATGGAGAGGGAGAGAGGCTTGACCTTAAAACCCATGATACTCTAGTTTCAGGAAGAAGTAGTCAGAATGGAAGTGGATGCCCATACATCCCTTGGGCCCCAAGGCCCTCTAACCCCTGTTCTGTGAAGTCATTTCTTTTTGTATGTAAGTAGAAGGCTGGAAAATTAACTCGCAGAGGCTGTCCCCATAGAGGGGCTAAGCCATACATTGTAGCCGATCTAGTTCCTTCACTAAATCGCTAAGCTCAATGATCCTCTATCCTCTAACGACTACAAATGTAAGGAATTTCCCTTGCTCTTTGGGTTGCTGTGGTATCCCCTCTCCCAGCTTCCCCTACTTGGAGTAGCTGGAATTATTATTAAAGGACTGATTTCCTCAAAAATATGTCATTAATTCTTGCAACATTGCTCTTATGGGGCTACCCATTGTTCAGTTACTGTTGATATTTACACATTTATTCTTCTAGCATCTTAGAAACGTATTTCAGGCATTTTAGAAAGGTATTTCCCTCTTTTTGACCTTTTTACTATTGATTTTGGGGGGTTGGGGAGGGATGAGGTTAAGGCAAAGTGTAGCCAATGCTGTCCTTAATTTGTGATCCTCTGTCTCCACCTCTCACGGGCTGGGATTACAGGCTTGTGCCATGACGTCTTGCCTATTAGCCTGTCGGAATTCCCCAATCAAATATTCCTGCAAATCATTTTGTGTTCATATTGTAATGTTCCTCATATAGTGTATTTTTTATCAGGGTTATGTCTATGTGCTTAGGATTTCTTTTCAGTGAAAGCTCTTTTTGTCTTAAGCACACATATTGTGATCATTCTAAATGCTTGCCGGCACCATCTGCCTCTTACAGCTGATAGGCATGTTGCTATTACATTAGATGAGCTTGGTTTTGCAGGGCTACTGCCTGCTCCCTCTGGTGCTCCGTGGGGGAAGCATTGCTGTCCAGCTTGGTCTGTGCCCTTCAGGGCATCTTTAATGTGAGAGTCAAGGATAAACACACTGTGGAAGGCCACAGATCCTGTACAAGTCCATCTACTGTCTCTACTTGTTGACTTCAGAGGCTGCCTCTGAGTGAGGGTTCCCACAATGCTCCTGGAAAGCACAGCACTAGGAGAAAATGCTGCTAGACCAGCCTTGGGGAGTAGAAATGGAAGTCTTTTCTTTTTTTTGTGGGGGGTGTTTATTGAAACAGGGTTTCTCTGTGTAGCTTTGGAGCCTTTCCTGGAACTCACTCTGTAGCCCAGGCTGGCCTCGAACTCACAAAGATCTGCCTGCCTCTGCCTCCAGAGTGCTAGGATTAAAGGCGTGCGCCACCACTGCCGGGCTAGAAATGGAAGTCTTCGAGGGGCACTGTCAGGCCACCGTTGGTCCATCTGGAATTCTTCTCAGCATCCGGGCACCATGGCAGAGCTTTGACACATCTTCTTTGTTGCCCCCAACTGTGGGCCCCCTCCCCCACTGCCACAAACTCCAGCCCCACCTCCACTCATGTGCCCCGCCCTTCTCATAGCCTTCAGACCTCTCAAGGATTTCGCTTGGATTTTTCAAATACATGCTCTTCAAGTTCACGCTTCCCCCTTTTCTCTGGCGCTTTCCAGGTTCATGTGGGAGGGAGCATTCAACAGCCCATGGCAGTGTTCTGTATAGCCATGCAGAAAAGTCTCGACATGATCAAATATAATGCAAATAGAAGTCATTATAACAAGCAGGACAAATACCTGATCATTATCTATCAATAAAATCCCAAGAACTCATAGGTAGAGAAGCAAGACCAATTATTCATGCAGTTGAATATGTTGTGACATATTGTTTCCTAATAACATAAAATGACCGTGAGGGCAGAATTGTTTCCTTTCAACCAGTTTAAAGATGTGTGACGACGGTGGAGGCTTGACAGTAGATGCCAGAGAAAGGATTGTGCATGGCACCGGTTTGCTTCCTGAGAATCCTGGGCAATTGTGCCACTTCTAATCAGGTCCCCCAAACAAATATTGAGCCCTTCCCACGTGTGACTCCCCAGCACCCTGTTCCTCCTGTTCTCTAGAGGGTACGGACCACAGGGACACCTAAAAGTGGAAATGCCCTCCACAATCACCAGGAGGGGACTGTTTTTCTGCTGAGAACTTTCTCAGACTCCCTGCCCTTTCCCCTACTTTCCTTTGGCACTCTGACCTAGTAAGATAGGAATCTAAACACACTCCCCGCAGCCTTCTCTCACCACTCTGGAGGCTTTGGAATCAAAGGTCTGCCCTTTCATTGCAGGCGATCACAAAAGACAAGGCCTGGCGCCCAGGAGATAGGAGGAAACAACCAAATCAGAAACACTGCCGGCCTTGCCTCCCACAGCAGGATCCACACCAGGGAGATGAAAAGCCTTCACAAGCTCCAGAGGTGTGGTTTTACCCACTCCCAGCCACAGCCCCTATTCACACACCCACAAACCAGGCCATTTCATCCATCAAGTCTCAATGTCTGCATCTTCCAAATGGGGCTAATAATCCGGGTCAGCCTCTGATTTGTTGGTTGTATGGACGGCTGGCACCTGACCTGACGGAGCACAGACTTGCATGGACTGTATCAGCAAGAGGATGAAACAGCATTCATTCCTCAAAGTATGAAGACTTACTGAGGTCTAGACTTGTCTTAGAAATACCCCCCAACACACACACACACACACACACACACACACACACACACACACACACACAAACACACACACACACTTTCTGGTTTCTGATTCTTGTAATTCCGAAAGCCTTTGTCCTTTGGTTCAGTGGAAAGTACCGCCTGCATGGGAGGATATTGCTTTGATTCCCCAGTCCTGGCCTCTGGGTAAATGTGTTTCATGGTGTTTACACGGATTATGGCTTTCTGCTGAAGAAGAAACGCTGGCCTCACATGGGCTAAAGGGGATCGTCGAGAACCCTGAGGTTCTTATTTACAACTTGCTCATGAACCAACCCAGGTGGCAGAATTGCCTGAAACACAAACAGTTTGTGCAAGACTTCATCTTCGATAATCAATTTCCCTTTTAATGTTTGTCTAACACTTAACAGAGTTCCTTCATGGGTTCTACTTTTTGCAAACTCTGAAGGATCCAAATCCCAAAGAAAAGTGAAAATGCCTGGTCTTCTTTAAGAAGTATTAACAGAGTCTTTTAAAAGACATAACGTAGAAGAGGGAGCACACAGGGAGTAGAGGAGAGGGAGTGGGACAGGGAGAGTGTAGGATGGTCAAGACTGTGTGCCTCTGGGAACACCCAGGGAAATCATTGATTTGAATAGTTAGCATTACTACTATTATAAATAAAAAAAATAAGCATGAAATGTGGGCTCAAGAGTGAGGAGATGGCTCTCTGGGTAAGAGCTCTTCCTGTACAAGCATGAGGACCCAAGTTCAAATCTCCAGCAACCTTGTAAAAAATGTAGACCTATAACCCCAGCACTGTTGGAGAGCAGAGATTAGGAGGGTCGCTGGAACTCACTGGCTGCCAGCTTAGATCCAGGATCAATGAGAGACTCTGCCTCAAGGGAATACTGTGGGGGAGTGACAGAGTAAGACACTCAACATCTCCCTCTGGCTTCCACATGTGTACCCACAGGCACACACACACACACACACGCATATATTCCACACACATACCACACGTGCACATCACACACACTCCCACACACCGAAAAAGTGGGTTCATTTAGTATTGAGAAGATGGAGTCTTTTTAGGTCATGATTGGGATCCAGTCCCTTTCAACAGTTGGGGCAATCGGTAGACAAACCAGTTACTCGATTGTACTTGCGTACAATCACTTGATTCAACAAGGTTTCTTTCATTGTAGAAAATTACCATTTGGTGGAGTCTTGCTGTGATTTCCCCCCATTTTTACTTTTCTTAATACACTTCTGTACATTTTAATAATTTCAAAGGACCCATCTAATAGGTGGAATCACATGACATTGATGCATATGTTGCATAGAACTTGATGTGAGGAATTGTGGTCACCCCAGACAGGACACCATTGACAAATCAAAGAAATTCCACTCAAGTCTAGCTTGGGGAACCAGTAGGTTTATTGACGTTATCTGCAGGCACAGGAGTAACTCAGAGGCAGCTGCCTCACTGAAAGGCCCACTCCAGCATGAGTGATGATAACCGAAGCTGCATTCTTATGCTTGAATAGCAATAAAGGCCCATTAAGGGAAAACCCTTTGGTCAAGAGAAGAGCCTCTCTGACCTGGGTGAGTTGATCCTGGCCAAGGAAGCACCTCTCAGGAAGGGGACCGCCCCTAGGAAAGTGGTCCACCCCTAGGAAAGTGGGTCCACCTCAAACTATGTCGAAGAGGTAGGTGGAATAATTATCCCTTTAATGAAATGCTGTACTCTTCCTTCCCAGAACTCCTACCCTGTAGTGCAGTTGCTAACAGAGTACAGCCATACTCTTTTGTAATATCACTTGCTTTTCTGAATTACTCAGGAAAATGAACCTTCTCCTTTTCTTTCTATCTTTTCTCTAAGCATGTTTTCCTTCATACCCCAGGTGCCACTCTTTCTTTAACACCCCTTGAAACCATGTGGGTGACCTCCATGTGGCCTTAGCTCAGGTGGCATGCCCCTTCTCCTTCTCTCCCCATTCTCCTTCTATGGGTAGCTGCTGAGATTTACAGCTTGCCTGCCCTGTGTGCTTTTCATTTAAATCCTTAATTTATCTTGTGTTAGGGTTTTGACTGCTGTGCTGAAACACCCTGAGCAGAAGCAACTTGTGAACGAAAGGATTTATTTCATCTTGAAGATTACAGTCCATCATTTTGAGAAGTCACGGCAGGAACTCAAGGAGGAACCTGGAAGCAGGAACTGGAGTAGAAGCCATGGAGAAATGCTGTGTATTAGCTTGCTCCTTATAGCTTACTCAGTCTGTTTTCTTATCGCAGTCTGGACCACCTGGCTGGACATGGCACTGTCCACAGTGAGGTGGGCCCTTCCATATCAATCATCATGCAAGAACAGGCCAATCTAGTGGGAGCCTTTTCTCAGTTGAGGTTCCCTCATCCAAAATGATTCTAGCTTGTATCAAGTTGACATAAACTACCTAGCACAGTCCTCAAGCTTTCAGATGAGTCTGTTCTTAAATTACTTTACTGATAAGACTAAGAACCCCAACAATGGACCTGGATTTCGCTGACATCACCTGGCACTCACTCTACAATGTGCAAAGGCACTTCCTCTTTGTAGCAGGTTTCTCCCACTCTTAAAGTCTTATGAGTCTTGTAAACTTCTGAGCTTTCTGAGCCTTGTAAGTTTCATCAGCTTCCTGAGTCTTCAATCCTCCCACATCCTTCCAGGAGGAAATGTTTTAGTTCAGAGGCAATAGCTTACATGCATTTCTGTTATGTGGAGAGCTGGATTCCTGCATTCAGAGCTCATCACAGGAAGTGTCTGCATCACCTCCAAAATCTCAGTTTCATTTATTTGTCAATGCAAAACAAACAAAACACTGTCACCTCTATTCTAGAGCTAAATATGAGTGACTAGGGTCCAGGAATGCAAACGTAGGTGGCTGCAAAAGTTGTGTTCCAATGTGATAATAGTTTTATTCAATTTCTTTTCCTTTTATGATTTAAAAAAATTTATTTTGTGTTAGAGGGTTGTGCCTGCATGTATGTATGTATGCACACCAGATGACTTCCTTGTGCCCACAGTGGTCAGAAGAGGACATCAGATTCCCCTGGAACTGGAATTATGGGTGGCTGTGAGCCACCATGTTGTTGCTGGGATCTAAACCTGGGTCCTCTGTAAGAGCAATACATTCTCTTGAGCACTGAGCATCTCTCCAGCATCAAGAAAAGAAGGAATAAAGGGGAGGAGAGGAACGGGGAGAGGGAGGGAGGAAGGCAGGGAGGGAGGAGGAGAGAGACAAAGAAAGACAGACACAGAGAGAGACAAAGGGGTGGGGGAGAGCGCTCTGAACACCAGAAAGTCCTTTCATGTTTTCCTAGGAGGTGGGGAGCCTGGCCACAGCTCAAACCCAGTTCCAGGAAGGCATTAGAGCTGTTTGTTGAACGGGAGGAATAAGGAAGAACATTTGCTTACAGATTCCTGTTATATTTGCAGGAGGTAGAGCTGAGCTGCAGAGGAGGTGTGGCCTGATGAGAGAGAGAGAGAGAGAGAGAGAGAGAGAGAGAGAGAGAGAGAGAGAGAGAGAGAGAGGAGAGAGATCTGAGATCTGACAAAGTTTTATTTAAGTTCTCACATCCTCATTCTCAGCTGAACACTTGGACTCTTGTTTCCCTGAGAACACAGTAACTATCCAAAAGGGCTGCTGCCCTCCCCGCTCCGCCCCTGCCCCCCCCCTCTTGTCACTAGAGAGGAACAGGGCCTGCTTTGGGCTCATGGCCAGCCACCACTTGCGCAGTGATTGTGCTGCCTCTTTACACACAAGGGCTGTGCCACAGCGCTGCCCTCTTCCTCGTGCCCAGTTTCCTTCCCTACTGGTTGTTCTTATCATACTGTTCCTGTACAGCTCCATCTCCTAAAACTCTCTTGATAAACCTCTCTTCTACTCTTTGCCACCTAATCCATGTCCTCCTCTGTAGCAAATTCACTGTGTTACAGTCTCTTTGGTCATCTGTCCCCAGCGCTCCATTGCCGTTGAAATCTCTCCTATCAAGGTCACTAGTGACTTCTTTATCATGAAATTCAGTGGCAGGTCCTGAGCCTTCAGTGTCCCAGACTGCTGGGGGACAAACGGCAAGGCCACTCTCCCTCCTTCTCATGGCACTACCACACCAGACAGTTCCACGTCCATCCTCTGGCTGCTTCTCATACTCTGACCTCTAAATTTGGAGGAATCTGGGCAGTCCTCACATGTGGGAACCCAGCTGGAAGACCGGCTCCCACATTTTACCCCAGGGTATTCTTGAGGAGTTGAGGGATAAGAGATTTAGATAGAAGGAGAGAGGAGAGGGAAACAGATAGAAACACAGGATAACCTCGGGAGGGCCTGGATCCTAATCCACTGGCCCCTTCTGTCTCTTCTAAAGGGCTATTTATAGAAATGCCAAGGGGTGGAGCAAAAGACCTCCCCCTAGCTCAGCCAAGGGTAGACTCTTCCAATCACCTAGAAACCATGCACATGGTCAAGCAATCCTCTAATGCAGCTCTGCTGGGTAAAGCAAGCTCAGATTTCACTAGGAAACCTTTGCGGGCCTCCACACTCACATACTCCAGATGTCACTAAGATGGATGGAGCTGAATAGAAACCTTGGGCTTTTGTACAAACACACAGGACTACAAATATGTAATGCACTAATTTGATAAAACTAGAGACCATAAACATCCAATCTAATAGAAATGTGACTTTGTGTTGTCAAAAGAAACAGCTCTCCTTTCAAAGGAATAAAAGACATGGTTTGTTCTGGAACAAAATTTGAATGACCCTAACCTGAGGACATATATTGAGACCCAAATATATTGTCCAACATGGAAGCAATTTCATGGAGTTTTATGGTAACAGAACAAAGAAAGTTACAAATCAAGGTATTTTTAAAATACATTGGTAGAAACATCAGAGAGACAAGTTACAGTGAGGTAGGGAAGCTCTGCTATTGGCCTTGGATGCTGTCTTCAACACTCAACCCTTTGCTAAGTTAGTACATTCCAAAGGCTTCTTACCTGTCACATATTAGGTCTGGCTGGTAGCAGGGTGTTAGATCTGACACAGCGGGGAATAGCTTATTAGGGTACTAGAGATCACCCAGGATAAACTGTTATGTGGCTCTGGCACTGCAACATTCAACCCCTCCACATCACTGAAGTTTCAATCATCAACCAGCCTATGTGGACAGATTCTAGCCTGGAATTCTCATCCCTGTGAATATAATAAATAAGGAACTCTCATAAGCGTTCCTGCAATAAAGACAGATTATTGCCTTCAGCAACCTGAAGAGTCCTTTTAGTTTTTTCAGGGACCTACCTAGACTCAGGCAAACATTGGCTTCAACACAAGAAAGACTTTCTGGGCAAGTAAGTATGAAACAGAATCAGGGTTTATTAAAAGACAGCTGGGGTAGGTGGTTGGGGAGATGACTCAGTCGGTAAAGTACAGACCGGAGTTCCGATCCCTGGCACCTACATAAATAGCTGGGTGTGGTGATGTGCCTGTAATCCCAGTGCTGAGGATGAGGAGGCAGGAGCATCCCTGAGGCTTGCTAGCTACTCTGTGAAGCTGAATCAGCAAGCTCCAACTCCAGTGAGAAAATATAAGATAGAGCGATGGGAGAGAGAAAGGGCCCTATTTTGACCTGTGGCCTCCACATGGACCCTACCACACACACATATACACACATAGAAAAAAAGGAAGGTTTTTTGACATGGATTTTAAGCATAAGAGTCAAGGGAAAGAAGATGTTTGGGGAGAAAATGAAACACAGCAGGGCCCATGGGTACAGGTTTCTCTAAAAGAGTGTCGCATCGCGTCTTTAAAATAGCCATGTAGTTCAGTTTGGTGAGGTTGCCAAGGAAACAAAATGAGATCGCAGGTCCGAGAGACAGCTGACAGGACTTCAATTGAGCAGGCGACTCTCTAGCACTAAGGGATGCAGGAAGGCACCTTCACTGCACAACAGAGTTTATAATAGTCTTGTTGGAGATTCCCACCCAATGTCTTGGAAAAGAAACGAGGCCCTTCTCTTGACATAACATGTCTAGAAGGAATGGGGATGGTGTCTCCTTGTGGACCACCCTCACAGCAAATGGTGATGTGTTGGAATCTTGATGCTCAGCTGGGACAGGCTTTAACCAGACTCAAGGGTGAGGGGCTCTTCCCTTCCCATGTTCCCATGATTCTCCGTGTCTTTTTGCCCTGCCTCAACAAGCACTAAGAATTTCAGCAGGTTAATCAGCTTTATTTCCCTCCCTCTTTTAAGTATGTCCAAAGTAGTCTGTTTGCCGGCTTCTTGTGACAAGCATTTGTGAGGGTTATCTCAGTTAATTTTAATAAGTATCTGAGGTTGGTACTATTGTGTCCAAGTTACAGGGGTCTGAACAAGGTCAAGATTATGACTGAGCTGGGAGGCTGAAACCATGAGGAAGGCAAGAACCCGAATAAAGCTTCCGTAGGAAGCCAGGATGAAGGTTGATGTCTCTAAAAATGTTGAAGGTACTGAGTGTAGAGAGGAAGCGTTGGCCCTTGTGTTTGGATACATTTGAGGGGAAGTGGAACAAGACTTTCACAGGACTGAAAGAAATGGTGGGCATTGGGTGGCCCAGACTGATGGCCTGGACTTTAAGACAACAGGTTTGGGTTTGTTTTGAATCAGGGTCTCATGTAGTCTGGGCTGGGTACTTACCTCAGGGTAATCATGGACTCCTGATCCTCCTGCCTTCACCCTGAGGGCTGGGGTGACTGAAATGCACCACCACATGTGGCTTGACAGTAGGAGGCTTTGAAAGGATGGAGAATGCAAATACTCAATACTCGAGGTGTCCGTGAAGAACCAAGAGGGTACATGCCTTGTCCCAAGTACTTAAGAGCCCTGGGTGTGGGTGGCCAGAGGAGTGCGGCGTGGGGAAGGAACAGATCAAAACCACCATTTGAAAGGGCCATGGGAATGCCAGCTGACTCATCCACTGGAATTCCCAGTTTGCAGACGACAAACAAGGACAGTTCAGAGAACAGCTGGCAATAGAGAACTCTCTTGATGACAGAACTCTGCAGAAGGCTCATGGAAGCGCTTGAGTCTAGGTGGAGACCGAGTTAGAATAGACATAAGCCCAGATGAATGTGGGGGAGGGAGGAGGAAAGTCTGACTCTGAGGATTCTTCGGAGGAAGTAAGGAAGAGGAGCACGTCTAGTTGAGGTGCAGGTATTATGGTGGGGCGGGGTATGCTGCCACTGACGTCCTGGAGTCTGGCAACCTGAGTTCTCTAAACTTCTTTGTGGAAGTAAGAACAGCCCTTGTCAAATTCTCCCACAATCTAGACCCCAGGGAGAGCGTGTTAAGGGCCTAGAGATTCATATAGACTGACTCTGCACAAAGAGGCTGCTGCAGGTTGGCGTGGCCTGAGCAGCAGTCTGTCTGGATTCAACAGTATGGAGACAAGAACATAAAGGTGATAGGAGACCCAGGAGGCTCGGGTTTGGGAGCTAGCTAGAGCTTCTGGCTTCAGGGAAATAGACCAACCAAGAACCACCCTAGTTCTTGTGACTCCTTCCCAGACCTGCATTAGATGTCGGGGTTAAGTGCATCAGCTGCTGAGTGAACACAAGATCATTGTGAGAGCTAGGGGCCTGGTGCCATGAGAAGGGTGAGGCAGAGGCTCACCTAGAACATCGGATGGCAGGGACTTTTGTTTTAAGAAGTGGCAGCGGAGCTGGGGAGGTGGCTCAGTGGGTAAAGTGAAAGGGTGGGGACTCGGGTTTAGAACCCCACACCTTCCGAAAAGCACACATGTATAACCCCAGTTCTGGAGGGGCAGAGACAGGCAGATCCCAGTGGCTCTTTGGCCGGCCAGTCTAGCCCAATAGGCAAACTGCAGGCTCAGAGAGAGAGAGAGACACACTCCATCTCTAAGACACACACAAAAACTAAGACTGAGAGTGGTGGAGGAAGACATTGACGTCAGCCTCTGGCAGCCACAGGTGCATGCCCACGGGAGTGGATCTGCATGCACGGGCAGAGCACCCAGGTTGAAGGTCACGGTGGGACCCCACGCTGCCATTCAGTAGACAGATTTCTGAGGAGAAGTTATTCCTCTCTGGCTGTCTCCAGGCTCCTGCTTACACCTCTCCTTTTTAGAGAACCTGAACTTCAAGTCAGTCTCCTCTCGAGGGACCCTGAAGCTCTCCAGCAGCACCAGCTGCATCTCTCTTGGAAGCCGGGTAGAGCTGTGTTGAGCATAATGGTGGGCCACAAAGATCAGAGGAAACGAGCCGACTCCACAGACCCCTCACATGTGAGGCATCACCTACTCTCAGCTGCTGGAAGGGCTGGTATTAAAAGAATAACAACATCCCACAGCACAGAGAGGCTTAGGAACCAGTGGTGAGTCACTCAGCAAGAGAGTCAGGGGCCTGGAGAGGCCAGTTGGGGTGACTGTTGGATGTGATAGGAGCATAAAAGCTTCCCCACTTCCATGGCTGGGCAAATATGAGGCTGACAAAGGATGTCTCGGAGTCAGCCAGCCAGCCAGATAGCAGCCAGGAACAGGGCAGCTATGTACATGTTGGAGATGATGTTTTCCTTTGGCTTGCTCGAGTTCTGAGACCTTTGGCCCAGTTTTTCCCAAGCAGGCAGAGGCCTCGATAAGCTGAGGCGGGGCTTCCTGAGGCTGGAGTCCTAGAGACTTATAAAGCCCTACCCACAACCGCTGGGCATCTCTCCCAGGGCCCGTGGACTGCTGGCTTTCTGCTGATACCCTAGAGATGCAGCGGCTTTTGGCTCCAGCAAGGAGGGTCCTGCAAGTAAAGAGAGCGCTGCAGGAAGCTTCGCTCACACCTGCTCACCCGCTCTCAGCAGCCCAGCAGAGGTGAGTCACCTGCTCTGAGGGGCTATGGGGGGCGGGGGCCGTCACTCTCAGACAAGCACCACAGGGGATCGGTAGAGAGCAGGCAGAGGACCTGTCGGAGAACTCACTAGAATCCCAGGCAAAAGCAGGCGAGGCGCTCAGCCATAAACACACAAGTTAGCTTCAAAGTTAGCCTCCTTTCGAGAAAGCGCCTGTCAGCTGTTGAGCTGGAAATGCCTAAGCTTAGTCTCTGATGCACGCTGTTTAGGAAAAACAGCATCCTTTCCTCTCCCAGCTACAGGAGGCAGCAGAACTTAGGATCCTGCAGCTGCAACGTTAGTTCAACAGCTCACTTTAGTTCAGTGCAGCAAGACCTAGAATGGACCAAACAGAGGAAGCTGTGTTCCTCCATGCTTCAGCTTAAGAGATGAAATATAGAAGTTTTGTGTGTGTGTGTGTGTGTGTGTGTGTGTGTGTGTGTGTGTGTGTGTGTGTAAGGGGCGGTACATGTGCTTGTGCAAGAAGAACACAAATGCCTCGTTTCTTTGTAAACAACCTTTAGTCTGGTCCAAGTGCTTGTGGTTGCTCAGAGCTAACGGGATACAGCTGTGCTTCGTGCTTTGGGCTCCCAGCTAGCTACCCGTCTAGATCATAGTCCCAAGGCTTCCTTTCCACTTATACTCATGAATACCGAATATTTAGGAAAACTCTTTGCTCTCGTGTCTTCCCTCGCCTCCTCTCCCGGGAGCCTGGTGTAGGTGTGGAGGGGAAGGGGCAGTGCCCTTAACCTTTCTTTTCTTCATGACCCTACCATCACCTCCTCTCTCCCACCCCTGGCAAAACCGCTGCATTTCATTCGAATATTCCAGCTCAGAATCTAGCTTGTTTGTGCACTTGTGAGGAAGTGGTGGACATGGTTTACTAATTTCAGGGCTGGACAGGGGTGACCATTCCCAGGTCGTCCCCCCGCCCCAACTCCCTTTATTAAGACAAGTTCTCTCTATGTAGCCTTGGTTGACCTAGAATTCATTATGTAGACCAAGCTGGCCTTGAACTCATAAAGATACACTTGCCTGTGCCTCCAGAGCGCTGGGATTATAGCCTGGCACAAACTTTCCCTAAGCAACTGTGGGCCGCTACCCAAGCCTCCATCCTCATCAGCATTCTGTGGCTTCTTTGGTTCATGCTCTAGAATCCTTATTCATATTTCCCTTCTGGTGCCCCAGTGCTCTCTGCCTGGACTACTGATGTTCTTTATAAGTCACCTTTGCTCTAGGAGTCTGCCCCTCTAATCCAACCTGCATCAGCTTTAAATCCACCTCAGAATAACCACCACCCCAGCATCCACACCCCCGACCTGATATTAAAACACCTGACTCTCAGTGTTTCTCACCTATAATCTTCCTGCTCCCCTGCACACCATCGTCTGTGAAGTTTCTCTAGCCTGCTTACACACCCCCACTGTGGCCATGGCCCCTTCGCCCTCTTCAGTCCTTCACTGTCAGAAAACCACTCGTCTGGCAGTCAAGATTGACCTTAGGGCCTGGTGAGGTGGCCCATCAGGTAAAGGTTCTTGGCGCCAAATCTGAGGCCTTAAGTTCCGTCCCCAGAATGTGCAGGGTAGAAGGAGAGAGCAGACTCCTAGAATCTGTCTTCTGACTGTCACACATGTGCGTGGCACATGTGCCCCCCACAACATTTTAAAAAAGTAAACAAAGAAAACAAGGCTGACCTCCAATTTAGCCTCTCCCATGAAGCTCTCCTTATTTTCCCTACCCAGAGACTCTCTGCTTCCCTTGCACTCCACGATTTTGCCCACATCCCTTCCATGAGCCTCATCCATCTCCAGTCTTGACAGCTGGACTATAGGCGTGCTCATCTCCTTCCTCACACCAATTAGGGATTTTGAAAGCCCTGCCCTCGTCTCTGTGCAACTCCTTCACACAACAGTACCCTTCTCCACATGGTGCCCAGCATGGGATTGTTAGCGGTGTGCCCACCGGGAAGCAGGCAGGCTGGAGTGAATTAGCGCTTGGTGCAGATTCTTGAGCTAGGCAGCAAGAACAAGCTACTTTATATAATGCAGTGATCATCCCTTGGGGGAAAACACAGGGGGAGAAGGGGACCCTTCACCAAGTGCCTAGGTGCTTCTGGGAGCCTTTGTGAGCTACTTTTATCTCCAAGGCTCTGAAATCCACATCCAAAAAAATCTCTACCAAGAAATAAGGAGAGTTCCTGGCTCTCTGAACTTGTCCCTGGAGCTTGTCTTTCTATATGAGAAACGAGGGAGGCAGTCAGCCCAGATGAAACAGAGAGAGATGAACCTGCCAGGAACACAGCCACGCTGGCAGCTCCAAACACTAGCTAACCATTAGCTCTTGGTCCTGGGGACGCTCCCCATAAATATTTGAAAGTTCAAACTCCAGTTATTTGGAGGACACCACATAAATAAGTTAGCCCCCACCCTCTCCTGTCAGAGGCCGCTGAGACTCCCTCTGCTTTGGTGTCTTATGACCATAGGATGCTCTTTTGTCTCACGGGGGTTCTTGAAAGTGACTCTTCTGGTGGGAGAATTTGGGAACCCCAGAGGTGCAGGTAGGGAGAAGCACTCAATATGAGCCAGAGCCTCCGTGGTACAGAGAAAGCTTTGTAAGCCCAAGGCAACAAGTAGACAGTATTTCTAAAGCAAGAAACACTGGGGAATTACTTCACTAGTGTTTATAGCAAAGAAGGGCACTGGCTTTAGATGCTGGGCACCTGTAGGAGGAAGGTTTGCAGCTGGGAAGGGAAACTGCACACTTTCACCAGAGGAGTTGGGAGTCGGAAGCAGAGGAACACAGGAAAGAAAGACCTTCTCCTGACCACCATTCTCTCTGGTCTCCATTTAGAATTGCGCTTTTGGTCCTCTGTGCTCCCACGGGTTGGCCTGCTCCACTACACAAGGAGCCATAAAATGCCTGCCACTGTGTGGGCACAAAGGGTGTCTGTCTGTCTTACTCTGTGGTGAGTCAGCTCTGCATGGGGAGTGTCTGATAAATATTGAAAAGTCCCAGACAGAATGGAAGATAGTGAAAAACTTCCTTTAGAAGTAGGAAGGTGACCTGGGCGGATTGGCACACATTTGCAATCTCAGCACTTCGGAGGCAGAGGCAGGAAGATCATGAGTTCAAGGCCAACTTTGGCCACATAGACTTTGTCTCAAAACAAAACCAACACAGCAGCAAGTGGGAAAAGGATCTGTTTGTTCCCGTGTAGTAAAAAGAGAAGAGAGAGGAAGCTAGCCAGAGGCGCACTGTAAAGAGGAGTGGGGGGTTCTAGATCATTCCCTCGGAGGCCTTACAGCATCTGTGGAAATAAACCTCAGGATGATAACAGCTCAAAGAGATGCAGACAGTAAGAGAGCTGACCTACAGAGAGGGTTTGCACTGTTCTGGAGGTGATGAGGTGTACTCAATTTCTAATAGACACACAATAACTGGCCATACTTATGGGATCGGTGTGACATTTAAGTGTGTACACACACACACACACACACACACACACACACACACACACACACACGCACTCATACTCATCCAATGACCACATCAGGACAATTGGCTTATTTATCCTTACAGACTTTCACCATCTCTTTGTGTTGTGAGCATTCAAAAATCTTCCCTACTTGGTGCTTTGAAATACTCTGTGGCATGAATCTTAAAAGGTCTTATTAATAAAAACAAACCCGGGAGCCAGATATTGGGGTGAACGCTAAAAGATCAGAGAAATAGAACAGGCCACAGCTAACCTCACCCCGCCAGCTTCTCAGCTGATCCTGTTTCCTCAAACTGGAAGCCTCTGTGTCCTCATCTGAGTGGATCTCAGCTGAACTGCTGCTCAAAAGCCTAAAAGCTTAACAGACTCTAGTTCCTGGTCCTCATGCCTTATATACCTTTTTGCTTCCTGCTATCACTCCTGGGATTAAAGGCATGAGTCACCATGCCTGGCTGTTTCCAGTGTGGCTTCGAACTCAGAGAGATCCAGATGGATCTCTGCCTTTGGAATGCTAGGATTAAAGGTGTGTGTGCCATTTTCTGGCCTCTATATCTCGTGGGTGTTCTGTTCTCTAACCCCAGATAAGTTTATTAGGGTGTACAATATATTGGGGAACACAATATCACCACAATACTCAATTAATTGTTGTCAATCATAATGATCCTGCAGTATCATAGGGCATTGAAAGTTACTTCTGGGGCTGGAGAGATGGATGGTTCAGTGGTTAAGAGCATTGGCTGTTCTTCCAGAGGACTTGGGTTCAATTCCCAGCACCCACATGGCAGCTCACAACTGTCTGTAACTCCAGTTCAGTTCTGGAGAATCTGACACCCTCATATAGACATACATGCAGGCAAAACACCAATGCATATGAAATAAAATAAAAATAAACAAATCATATATAAAAAATTAAAGTTACTTCTGGCTGAGAATGTGGTTCAGTGTGTTTGCCTCCAATGTCCTGAGTTTACATCCCAGCATCACGGAATAAAATAAAACAAAAATCAAAACTTATTTCTCCCATGCAGCTGTACCCCTATACACAGCAAGCATGCCCTCTCCTTCTATCTTTTCCCTTACCCTGTCCAAGGCTCTTGTACCACTATTCCAGTCTCTACTGCTTTGAGATCAATGTCTTAGCTGCCACCTGTGAGCAAGGACACACAATCTTTGACTTTCTGTGCCTAACGTGTATCCCATCCATGTCGTTGTAGTGACAGAATTTAATCTTCAAGGCTAAATAGTATTCCAGCATGCACATATGTCACGGTTGTCTACACATTCATCTGTCAGGGGGCAGCACAAAGGAGTCTCTAGTGTGGTTATTGGATGGAGTGCTGCAGTAAGTGTGCAAGTGTCTATTATGTGTGAACATTCAAGTTGTCTGTTCAGTTCAGTTCCTTTGGGTGTGTACCCAGTATTGAGATTCATGGACCATATGGTAGTTCTGGTCTGGGTTTTGGTGGTACAACTGGATGGTTTCCATG